TTGTTATAGCTGCTTCTTTACATTGTTGGCATATTTTATGCACGAAATAGGAAATGGTTTTTAGCTGATCAATCCCTCCCTTCCTGCCATAGCAACTCTGTTCGTGGGACCCATTGAGGAGGCCAACTGCTGACCAATGCTTGCAGCACCCATTTTTTCATGTAAACTATTTTCTGTCATTTGTTTTTTGCTTCAACTTATAATTGTAATTGGCATCCTTCCGTAGAGATTTGAATAATTGACCACTTGCTAATGAATAGGTTGATATGTGGATTCCTCGTCCTCTAGGGGATCCATTGCAGATGGATTTGAGTAATGTTGGTAAGAACTCGTAAAGTACTTTTACCATGTGTCGTTATTCGCTTTTAGTCATGAAGCTGGCCTGTTGTGCAGGACCTGAGCCTAATCTTGAGTTGAACCTGTGGGATTTTGGGACAGTAAAGGATGACTGCTATCTTGGTTTGACTTTGGCTGTGAACCCGAGTCCCTCTTGCCTGGGTATGAATTTTTAAGTTTTTGATTATTTCACCACGCATCATGCTTCCTATTTTCGTCTCCTGTGGTAATATATATGTAAACCACTTTAGATTGCAATAGACTATTGTCTATGGTTCAATTTGTTGCAACAATCAAAGAACTGTTGCAACAATTGCTTTTTGTTCATGCAAATTGTGGCTCTTGTGACAACTGACATGTTTGTCTTAATGTCTTCCTCTATCTTGTTTCATAGAAGCAATACCTACGCCTCTGTATCCACCAAGATGGAAATCTATATTCTTGATATGGTGGTAATCCAAGTGTAAACACGTCTCAAATATGCCCAGGGAAACAGAGTTCTAAAGACAGCATGCCTGACACTTAGATCTTACATATGAAACACTCTTAACGCAAAAAACCATTTATTCATAGTATCACTTTTGTTTTGAGAACATGAGACAAACGTCCTTGCCTGATATATGTCTTGCTTTAATTTTTCAAGTTATTGTTTTGTTGTTGTAAGATCTTGTTTTTCTGTGGTAGTTTTCTGAAACAATTTACCTTTATCTCATTATGTAGATCTATTTCCTGCAAAGATGGCAAGTAAAAGTCAAGGTACAGGAACGGTGAGTTGTCTCAGGTTTTCTTTTCTTTTTAGATTTTGGGTCACTGTTTTCAGAGATTTCTATTCATAAGACTTCTGATTTGGCTATATTATTCCAAAATGGTTTTGGTAACATTGGCAGGATATGCTGTTCTGCCCTGGTTACCAGGATCACTCACAACAATCAGGTAGCTCATATACTTTTCCTTTTAGTGTAATATGTTGTTGTATTAACCATTTCTGCAATTTTATAGTTCTTTTTCTTTTTGTTCTGGGGTGGGTGGGTTCTATAATTGCCTTGTGTTAGACTCTCGAAACCTAGAATACTGAAAGGTTTGTCAGGCATATTATGTTCTTTCTGGGTATTTTATATAGTTAGTTGAAATCTTTATCTTCTATATTATTACCTAAAGGTGTCATGGCTTGTTTTGATTACTCCTTTTCAGTTTTCTGGTCATTGTTTCCTCCTGATCACCAAATATCTACTCCAGTGGACTCCTCATTATCATTATCATTCAGGTCAGTATCCATTTATCAAATTTGCTCTGTTAATGACATAAGTTTTGGTGGGTTGTTGAGTATTATATTTCCCTGTGGAGATTAGAAATGGGATCATCCTGCTATCCAGTTTCCGCAACAAATTTCTCTACCCAGAATTTCATTACACATCTGAATCATTATAATGTCTTTACTCTTATTAGAGGTTGAACGTAACTTAATCTTCCGACTCTCCATCCCCCCGCTAAACAGGTAGCCTCAAAAACATGTCCTCGAGAAAACCAAACACCAAAAAGACCCAAGTGTGTCGCACTTTGCAAGTCAGTAACTGGGAATGCAAGTGGGCTCATCTGTTTCTGTTATCAGAAATATAATTGTTTATTTTGCATGAAACTATTAACTGAAGCTGCTTGTGGAATGATGCCTTATGTTTATATTAGTGTGCTTGGTATAGTAAATTGAACTTAACTGTTAATCGGTATGAAGGCATGAAATTAAGATTTGCTTTTCTCTGCAGCACAATTCCACACTCAAATATTGGAGTTCCACAGTCCACTGGTTTTGGCATGACATCTCTGCAGTCTAACTTCTTGGAGCGACCCTTTCTGGCTATGTCATCCTCCTTCCAGCAGAGACAATGCCTTTGAGCTACTGATTCAACGGCGAACTCTGAGTAAATAAGAGATTAGTAGGAATTACTTGTAATTTGTAAATGTCATTATCATCATAGATTAATATTTATTCACGAGGACTATGATAAGTCGATAAGCCCTTTCTTTCATTCTCGGAAGATTTTCTTCTAAAGCTGAAGAGTCACCCACGCCCCTTTTACGTGGTATAGTTGGTGTCCTTGTGGGAACATCTCTGTAGGAGATGAGTGAAAGTCAATACTGTTGTAATTATTATACCATCATAAACTGGGAGAAAGATAGAACTTGCATTGTTTCATAGTTTTTTTTAAAAAAATATCTCTACCTTTCTCGAAGTAATTTACAAATCCCTCTTATCTAACAATGTCACATGTCATTTATTGTGTTCTGTTATTTGTTTTGTGTTACTTAGATGGATTGAAGGGGAGCCTTGGCGTAATTGGTGAATTTATTGTCATATGACCAAGAGGTTACGGGTAGAAATAGTCTTTTGCAGAAATACAGGGTAAGGCTGCCTACAATAGACTCTTATGGTCTGGCCTTTCCCTGACCCTGCACGTGGGGAAACTTAATCCACCGAGCTATCCTTTTATATCGATTGAGCTTAATGCAAGGGTAAATTTGTTTATTCTTTTATTTTAGGTTCAAAATGAGAACATGTTATCCAAGTGTCTTTTTTTTCTTCTGCAACATCGAAGTGTCTAACTTCCGTAGTTCCTGTGCTTCAATTTAAATAACATATTTTGCTTATTAGTTCATTTAGAAAAGAATAATATATATATTTGAAAATAATAAACTTTTGCCCTTTTAGGATCACATGCTTCAAAAAATATTTTTTTTTTTCCTTAAACTTTGTACAAGTCAATCTTCATCGGCTAAATTGAAATGGACAGAGTACTACTTTTTAACTGAAACGTAACCTCATTAATTAGAGAAACCATAATAGAACTGGAATTTGAAAAACCATAATCAGATGACAATTAACCATAATCAGTTGACACGTGGGAGAGAGTTTTTTAGTTTTAAAAACCCAAAAAATCACAGAAGTATTCTTATTCAAAGTTCCAACAAAAATGGTGGAGAAATTCTTACCTGTTGGGCGATTCAATAGTCTTCGCAGTAGTGACCCAGTTCTCCTCCTTTCTGGTCCACCTTCATCAGGAAAAACCTCTTTACTTTTCCAGTTCGCTATTAACTCAGCAACAGAGAGTAGGGAGGGTAATGTGGTCTTCATTTGCAACCGTCGTAAGCTGGAAACAAAACCCCCTTATCTGGCTCAGGGAATTGATCCATTCTCTGATAGTACTATTTTTGAACGTATTCAGATGAAGTATATAGAGGACGAAGAAGGAATTAAGAAATACTTTGCTGCATTTCATATGCATAATAATCCTGCTCCAGTTTCAGTTATTATTGATGATTTTGCTGATTTTTTTAATGAAGGAAAATGCCAAGAGAAATACAATAATAATCGAGGAAAAGATTTGGCTATGGTTCGAGTATTAGCACTATGTAAAAATGCAATGATGTATGCTAATCAAAAGGGGTCATTGCCATGTCAGCTTTTACTCTCTGATACTCATTATCATAGTGACTCCCCGAGATTGCTATACATTTACAAGAGATGGGTTTCCTCTATTTACACAATTAAAGCGGATGGTTTTGGATCATATCTTATTAGGAGTAGCAGCAACAATTTTGCTAGGGCTAAAACTGCAAAATACTCCATTGCTCTTCAGTATTTGGTAGTTGAAGATATTACTGAAAATGAAGAGCAGTTGGATGAATGAGTATTTAGGTTTATCATTATTATTGTGCAACGTTCCCCTTTTGTAATGACCCAGCTATGGTTCTTTCCTTGTATATCTACTACTTTAAGTTAATATAATGTTTGTTTTTTTCTGAACCTCT